AAATTTGAGGCAGAGAAGATGGTTGGAGCTGTTAAAGGACTACGATATCACTATTTTGTGTCACCCCAAAAAGGCCAATGTGGTGGCCGATGCTTTAAGTAGAAAGGTTGTGAGTATGGGCAGCCTTGCGTATATTCTGGTGGGTGAGAGACCGTTAGCGGCAGATGTTCAGACTTTGGCTAATCAGTTTGTGAGGTTAGATGTTTCAGAACCCAGTTGGGTTCTAGCTTGCACAGACGTTCGGTCTTCTTTATATGAGCGCATCAGAGAGCGGCAGTATGATGATCCTCATTTACTTGTCCTTAAGGACACGGTGTAGCACGGTGATACCAAACAGGTTGTTGTGGGGGAAGATGGTGTTCTACGGATGCAGGGTCGTATTTGTGTGCCTAGTGTAGATGGGCTTCGTGAATTAATTCTAGAAGAGGCCCACAGTTCCAGGTATTCTATTCATCCAGGTGCTGCCAAAATGTATCAAGATTTGCAGCAACATTATTGGTAGAAGAGAATGAAGAAGGATATAGTTACATATGTAGCTCGGTGTCTGAATTGTCAGCAAGTTAAGGACGAGCATCAGAGACCTGGTGGTTCGCTTCAGAAGTTAGAAATTCCTGAGTGGAAGTGGGAGCGTATCACTATAGATTTTGTTGTTGGGCTCCCACAGACTCAGAGAAAATTTGACGCAATTTGGGTCATTGTGGACAGGTTTACCAAGTCAGCACATTTCATTCCAGTGGCAGTTACCTATTCTTCAGAGCGGTTAGTTGAAATTTACATTCGTGAGATTTTCCGCCTTCACAGTGTGCCCGTGTCTATCATTTCTGATCGAGGTATGCATTTCACTTCGCAATTCTGGAGGGCTGTACAATGTGAGTTAGGCACGCAGGTTGAGTTGAGTAGAGCCTTTTATCCACAGACAGACGGACAGTCAGAACGCACTATTCAGATATTGGTAGATATGCTCCGCGCTTGTGTTATAGACTTTGGAGGTTCTTGGGATCAATTCTTGCCACTTGCGGAGTTTGCCTATAATAATAGCTATCATTCGAGCATTCAGATGGCTCTGTATGAAACATAGTACGGGAGGCGATGTCTTTCGCCAGTTGTCTGGTTTGAACCAGGAGAGGCTCGGTTGTCGGGTACCGATTTGGTACAGGATGCCTTGGATAAGGTCAAAATTATTCAGGATCGACTTTGCACAGCTCAGTCTAGGAAAAAGAGTTATGCCGACCGTAAGGATCGTGATATTGCATTCATGGTTGGAGAAAGAGTATTGCTCCGGGTTTCACCTATGAAAGGTGTAATGAGGTTTGGAAAGAAAGGCAAGTTGAGCCCTGAGCATATAGGACCCTTTAAGAAAGGGTGGGCGAAGTAGCCTACAGGCTTGCATTACCACTTAGTTTATTAGCGGTTCATCCAGTGTTTCATGTGTCTATACTCCGAAAATATCATGGTGATCCGTCCCATGTGTTAGATTTCAACTCAGTCCAATTAGACAAGGATTTGACTTACGAAGAGGAGTTGGTAGCTATTCTAGCCCGGCATGTCCGACAGTTGAGGTCTATGAGTTATCCTTCAGTTCGAGGCAATGGAGAGGTCAATCGATTGAGACAACTACCTGGGAGTCGGAATCAAACATGCAGAGTAAATATCCACACCTTTTTACCAGCTCACGTACTTTTCTAATTCTGTTCGAGGACGAACGTTTGTTTTAGAGGTAGAGAATGTAATGATAGAGAATGTAATGACCCAAAAGATTATCTTTAAATTTAATAATTAATTATGTGTTCTAAGACCTCAAAAATCACTATTTATCATTTCTCGACTTGCGTGCACAGTACGTATAATTTTTCAGAAAGTTTTTATGTGAAAAATGAATTAAATGTGAAATAGAGCCTTAAAAACTCAATTGAGTTGACTTTGGTTAACGTTTTGAGCAAATGAACTCTGATCAGTGTTTTGATAGTTTCGGTAGGTCCGTATCATAATTTGTGACTTGGGAGTATGCCCGGAATTTAATTTGGAGGTCCCTAGCTCAAGTTATGGCCATTTAACGGAAACTAGGAATTTAATGGCTAAAGATTTTCAAGTTTGACTACGGATTTGACTTTTTGATATCGGGGCCGGAATCCGATTATGGAAATTGGAATAACTCTGTTATGTTATTTATGACTTGTGTGCCAATTGTGAAGTCATTTCGGATTCGTTTAATATGTTTTGACACGAGTTTTGCAAATCAAAAAGTTTGAAAAATCAAAAGTCTGAATCGAGGTGTAAATTGTAATTTTGAGCATTGTTTGACGTTATATGAGACCCCAAGTAAGTCCGTATTATGTTATGGAACTTGTTGGTATATTCGGACGGAGTCCCGAGTACCCCGAATGTGATTCAAATCGAAATCGTAACAAAAATTGGACTTAAGCAAAATCTGAAAGTTTGCTGCTTCTGGTGCCTTCGCTTCTGCGAAGCCTTGGCCGCAGAAGAGAGCTCGCAGAAGCGAGCCATGCCTTGTAGAAGCGGACAGTCCGCAGAAGTGGATGGGCTGACGCAGAAGCGCGACCGCAGAAGCGGGAAATGGGGAAGGGGCAGCCTTGCGTAGAAGCGGATTCCTCTTCGCAGAAGTGACCCCATTTCTGCAAAAGCGGAATCCGCAGATGCGGTTATGTGTCCGCATATGCAAAAAGTGTTGGGCAGAGCCCATAAATTCGGAAGTCGACATTTTTACTCATTTTTGAGTTTTAAGTCTCGGTTTTGGGCAATTTCAAAGGAGATTTTCACGACTATGAATTGGGTAAGTGTTCTATAACCAAAAATGATTATATTTCATAAATCCATGTCTATATTCATCATTTATTTCGGATTTAGATGGAAGAAATTGGAATTTTTGTAAAACTTTCCAAAAATAAAAAATTAAGATTTGAAGGTCCATTTGACATCGGAATTTGATAATTTTTATATGGTTGGACTTGTCTCGGAACGAGTATTCGGATTTCATAAGTTTTTCCGAGATTCGAAACGTGGGCCCCACTGCTGATTTTTAGATGAATTTCGAATTTTAATCCGGAAAATTAGTAAATTCATATGGAATTAATTCCTACGATTTGTATTCAGTATATTGAATTGTTTATAACTAGATTTGTGGATTTCTGATACGAATTCGCGAAGCAAAGGTTTATTGGATTCTTGAATTTGGTTACAAAGCGAGGTAAGTGTCATGGTTAACCTTGACTTGAGGGAGTAGGACTTATTTGTCTATTTGCTACGTGATTTAATGTGCGGGTACAACATATATGTGAGGTGACGAGTACTTATGCATTGTGGTTGAGTCAAAGCATGAGAGTAAAATTTGTTTATTATGAATAATTACCTATTTAATTAAGATATTCATGTTTAAGTTTAATATTGATTATTTGATCATTATTCGTGAAATTATTATTCATTTAATTATTGTTGAATATTTTGGAAAGTGAAGTCGGTATTCTGGTATTGAATTGATTGATAAGTGCATATCCCCGCATTTAAATACTCTTCCAAATTTATATTATTATTTTCATTGTAAGGAAGAGTGTAAAAGTACGAAGGATGATGCTGTGTCATTCTTATTATTTATAATATCATTGTCATGGTAAGGAAGAGTGTAAAAGTACGAAGGGTGTTGTCGTACCATTTGTGAGTGTAAAAGCACGAAGGGTGATGCCGTGTCATTTTCAGAAAGTGTAAAAGCACGAAGGATGATACCGTGCCAAATGAGAGTAAAAGCACGAAGGGTGGTGCCGTGCTATTTTCATATCATCAGTTGCTCATTTTATTGTTGAGGAATTAATTGGCTGCTAAGTGATAATTCTCCTGCTAAAATTATTATATCAACACACTTCGCATGTTCCCTCCCAAATTTATAACGTGTTAATTTATTATTTTATTGTTGCTTCGTATTTGTATATACTTGTACAGTTTGTTTACGTACGGTCTTGTCATAGCCTTGTCACTACTTTATCGAGGTTAGGCTCAACACTTACGGAGTACATGGGGTCAGTTGTACTCATACTACACTCTGCACTTCTTGTGCAGATTTTGGAGTTGGTTTCAGTAGCGTACCATAGACGTGCTCGGATTCAGCTACTCAGAGGAGACTTGAGGTATAACTGCACAGCGTTCGCAGTTCTGAAGTCCCCTTTTATCTTATCTCAGCTATGTATTATCTTTCAAACAGCTTGAATTTTATTCAGACCTTTATTTGTATTATTCTGGTAGTTCGTGCACTTGTGACACCAGATTCGGAGATGTATTTTGATAATTCGGTATTTATGGTCTTCTGCACTTTATTCCAGTAATTAATTTCTATTTAATTAAATTAGCTTTAAAATAGTTAAGATTATTTTAACGTTAGTTTGCTTAGCAAGTAAAATGTTAGGCGCCATCACGATCCTGAAGGTGAAAATTTCGGATCGTGACACCTTCCTTAGGTCTATCTTCATTAAGCACTAGGAGTAATCTTCCTTTGGTAGTGCCTGAAAAGGTCATGGCATATGAGGACATTATGGACCAAAGATCTACCTTGCACAAATGCAGCATGTGATTCATTCACTAGGTGTGGTAGTACTTGCTTCAATCTTTCGCATAACATCTTTGAAATGCACTTATATACAACATTATATACTACATTACAGCATGATATGGGCCTGAACTGGCCAGCATTTAAAGGATTGGCAACCTTTGGTATAAATGTAATTATAGTAGCATTTATTTGCTTGAGGAGTTTCCCATTTCTAAGAAACTCCAATACTACCTCAGTCACATGTGAACCCACGTGTGGCCTATTTATTAATCACTTATTTAGTATATAGAATAAATTCCCCTTCCACTAGTTAGTATTTGTCCCGATAGCTATAAATAAAATTAATTCTCTAGTCTTACAATTAATAAGTATATATAAAATAAATAGGATTATTACAAAAATAAATAGGATTATTACAAAAATAAATTCAACTACACCTAGCGGCTCAACTTGTAAAATATTATATCTATATTAAGGTTTGCAAGTGTCACAAAATAATATTGTGTCGTACTTTACGCATACTAACTTAAGATCTTAGATTACAGTTCCTGTACATATATAATCCAAGCTGAATACAGAGCGCGCTAAGTGAACGCAGCATGAGAATTACATCTATATATATTGTAATAACCCAAAATAACTTAGACACCAAGTTGACTATAACGTGAAGTTGAGATCAAAGCTCTGATCACGAATCATGGAAGTTGATTCCTTATTCTTTGAAGATGATGGCAATGGATTCTGCACTTGGTATGGCGCTCTAGCCGTGTCTCTGGACGCCACCAAAAAACAGAAATAAGTGAGATCAGTGGCGGAACCAGAAATTTATACAAGGGAATTCAAAAAAAAAATTAGGATGGTATTTAAACCTATGACCTAAAGTAACTTGTGAATCCCCTTCACTATAATAATTGAATTTTTTTTCATGTCAAAGGAATTCAACAGTTCACGTATAACAACAATAAAAAATTACTTTTACCTTTTTTTTCACAGTGTAATTTTTCGGCGAAGGGGGTTTGCTCGAACCCCCTTCAATGAACTTAGTTCCGCCACTGTTATGAGACCTTTTGATAATAAGAATAATATTGGAACTGAATATGTTTGTTAATAGTACAGCTAGCTGTAGAACTAATCCTTACCTATCTTTCCTCCTGCCAAGGAACCTATGAAGTGAAGATCTTCTTGCAATAGGTAAATCTGAAGTGGACAAACACAGAACACGTATCAAAAGCAAATTAAGAAAATTATAAGTATAGCTCAATCTTAAATCCATCCAATCTATCTTAAATTTCATTTAAGATCTTGGCATATATCCATTAATAAGAAAATTATTTAATACTATCATTAATCATAAATGTTATTCGACTAAAATTATCTTTATCGCTCATCAAAATGAATAATAAAACTGACACTTTTTAGAAAACTAGTCTCAGTATACACGCGTTGAGAAAGAAATCCACCGGAGCAAAAATACTATAGATGCAAGATAGAAAAGAGGAGTGAATGCTTTCTTTTTTGTCATTTTTTCATCTGTGAATTATTAATCAATCCATTAATTTGTACACTCTATGTGATTGAATATTTCTTACACACACGAGTTTTATACAAGGTATCAGACTAATGAATCTATTTTCTTTGTGATTTTGTGGTTAGTCTTTGAATTTTGAAAGAATCCAGAAAAAAGCTAAGAATTTATTTAATTCGAATGAAAAAATTCAAAATATTGTTTTCTTGATACTGATACCTCAATTTCTCAAAATACGAAGAAAATTATATATAGTATAGCTCATTTAATATTGGAGCTAAGGGTAGTTGTGGTTTCATAAATGGACACTTATTTTACTCTTAATTTATTTGGCTAAAATGACATTTAATTACTCAAAATGGACCGGAGGGTGTCATTTAGGTAAAGTAATTAAATGCTTACCAAAGTTGTTAGCAGCAGAATTAGAGCCGAGCTTAAGAGGACCAGTTTTGTCAATGTTAGCCGTCTGAAAAACAGCACAAGAATTCTGAGGGCTTCCTTTGCTAGCTAATAACATCATTGCTCTGGCTTTATCAGCTGGGAAATCATCAAATACTATTACTTTACCACCATAGAATATAGACAACTGCGCTGCCTTTAACTCCTTTTGTGTCTCTTTACTGGAAAAAGAAAAATAATTATTGTCACAGATTAGTAACTATAAGTATTCAAAATGTAAGCAAATTCATTGTATAATTAATTCAATAATGCGATTTTGATGAAAGGAACGAACCTACTGTTGCTGGCTTTATTTATGGACACTTCCATTTCTCTAAAAGAATTTCTTGTTGCATTTCGAGGAACATGATCTATTAATTTCTTGTCTTGGCCCATTGTCTTAGTTGATTGCTCTTCTATGTTTGTCAAAAAATCCATGGTTGCCGTTTCTGTTACCTAAGGTATATCAGTTTTTCCTGAAAGATAAGTATAAGAACGTATCACCTTAGGGTGTAACCTAGCGCCCAATAAAGTGAAAAAAAACGTTAGAGATTAGGAATCAAAGTTATATCTTAGTGTCTAAATTTTAATAGGCAAAGTTATCCAATAACTAAAAGAGTACCAAATAATACTCGATAGGATAGTAAAAGGTAAACACCAATAATATTATAAAAAGGAAAAAACCTAGTGAGAACTTAGATCCCTTTGACCCAAAGCCTACTGGCATTTTGGATGCATGTATTTGAAGCTCTGAAATGTGGATAGAGTTGCAATAACAATTTATAAAACAAAAAATACGTCCAATTAGACTAATTAACAACAAAAGTAACTTGGCGGAGAAAACGATTTTGGCAGAATACCTAAAACCCTCCCCAATTAAGTGCATACTTATATTTTGAGTTGTCTTTATTTACCTTTGAACTTGAATATTTGGTATTATCATGTAACCCCCCGACCAATCTCACCTAATGGAGATGAGATTCATGGGCTCCCACATGAATATTTTTGTCACGTGATATTTTTTGAAATACAAAAAATATAATAGTATATTTTTTATATTTTTAAATTCATTAATGTTTTGGATTATTTTTTTTGGATCAAATTTGAAAAAAGCATGGCTGGAACTCCATTGTTTAGGCAAAAAAATTTAATTTGACAAAAAATAATGGAGGTTCAGCCGATTTTCTTTTACAGATTTGGTATGAAAAAATACATAATTAAAATAAATAGCCATTGTCTCTAAAGAGAAAAAGTAAAAATATATTGTTGAAACTCCATTATTTTTGCTAAAACCCATTTTATTAAGATAAATATAATGAAGTTTCAGCCATTTGTTTTACAAATTTTGTTTGAAAAAGAAAAAACACATAGTTAGAATAAATAATCTTTGCATTTAAAGAAGAAATAAAAAAGAAATACACAATCGAAGACGCTCCATTGAGGCTGATTTTTCAATTTTTCTTTATTTCCATGAGCCTAAAAAGATTATATGTATCCACGCTCTTTATCACATTAACGTTCATAGGGTAAACGAAAATAAATAATCAAAAGTTCAGGGAGGTAGTTAAGACAACGCAAAGTTTAAGTATACATTAAATAAAACATGTCAAGTTTAAAAACGATTTTTGGCATTCTGTCAAAAATCTTTATTAAACTTTAACTCCATATAAATGAAGTACAGAGAAGGAAGCCATTACAACAAACATGGAAATATAACAACTGAAATAATGGAGCTTAATTCTTTGGCTATTATGATAATGTGAAAAAAAATAAAAAAATTCCATATATACCTGGGATTTCTCCCTCGCCATTGATTCCAAGATTCATGAGATCTTTAAGTGTAGCCTTTCCTTTGAGATACTGACTCAACAAATTACAAGTCTGCATGTTATTTGACATGTTTATACACTGCTAAATTATATTCTACTTAATTGTGCAATTCTTCTATTTAGCTTGAGGAAAAATGATAAGTTTTGAAGAGGGGAATATATCTTGATCAACGGTAGGTGTAATTTTACGTACGGAGCTCAGGTTTTTGTTGTGCGAGTAAGTACAGTTGTGCTTGTCATGAGGTGTCTTTATTTCTTCATCTATTAGACAACCTTTTCACTTTCAATTATATATCCACGTTTAATTTGCTTCACCAAAACACAAAAACTGTGTATACTACTAAGTTAATCGCACGGATGTGGGGTCCGATATGGGTATCGATCCAGAGATCAGATCCTTCCAAATGTAAATTATTAGATTCGGGAATGCGGACCTGTACGAGTGTGCGGGGATCCCGCTAAAAAATAATTCAAAATATAAAAATATAAAAATATTTTTAAATTATAAGAAATTTTGTGAAATATTTATGTATAGCTTGTAAAGTGTGAATTTCTTTTTTATCTCAAGTTGTAGATAAGTAAAGAATTGATTTCCTAGATAAAGTATGTTATTTTCTTCAAATTTATCATAGTTTTGCTTCTGATTTCGTGAATCAAATTGTATCTCGTCTCAATTTTTTTTCTTCCATTATAGTTAAAGAACCCAAAATTATTTGACCAAATCCGATATAGACACGCACTGGTCGGAACAACTTAGTTATACTATGAACATCACGAAGATGACTTGTGGGCCAACCTGGGGCTAGTGCAATAGGACACACACTAGAAACACGTGCTTTAAATTCGAGCTCTCAAAATTCTACTCGATATTTGTGGTCGAAGTAAATGCTCAATATTTGTTAACAATTTAATTGTTTTACCGTTTGATAGAAAACTTTTGTTTAACTCATAGTAGTATTTTCTTATGCTGGTTCGATATATAATTTAAATTGAAAACTATGTTGAGCTGATTTAGCTTTTTAATCCATCAAATTATGTATCGATCAATAAAATATGTTAATTGAGTTGACGCGATGTAAGCCGTATCATGTTTTACTGTTAGATACTACTCCCTTTTGTGGTGTTGTACCAGCTACAAGCACAAAGAGCAGGGGTGTCAATGGTTCGGTTTGGTCGGTTATTTTATAAAATTTGTACCATATTAATTTTTGGATATTCTATTATGTATAACCAAAATTAGACTTTTCGAAACCGTCTCAATCATGTCTGATTTTTTTCGGTATCGGTACGGTTCGGTTAATTTTTGATATTTTTTTAAATATCATTAAAATTCACCTGTAGAAGTAGAACGCAATAACATATGTTCTTTTATATGACTTAGCAAAACTATCTAGATATTTTTACTGTTTAAAGGGTGATGAATTAAAAAAATAAAAGATGGCTAGAGCATAGATTTGTCAACTATTCTACAACAACGTAAAAGAAATCAAGCAAAGGCAAAAAAAAAAATATAAATCACACGAGTGGAAAGACATTAACTAAGCTAGGACTCAAGAATAAAGTTTATAGAAGATTAAATATTCAAAAAGATAAATTTAAATTATATGAAAGGAAACATATTCAATACATACTAGTTTGCTACTCATAATCGCTAGAATACTTTGTTAGAGTTTTAGGAATTAGTTGCTACTCATAATCGCTAGAATAAAGTTACTTGAAATAACTTTATTTTAGTAGAAGTAGCATAATGAGTTATAGGAATTAGTATTTTGAGTTTAATTACTTGTTGACTTGTAACAGTTTTCATAATTCCAAGGCCCAAAGAAAAATTTAATGCATTATTATTTTTAAACTTACTATATAAATATATTTTTCACATGTAAAATTTATTCGGTACGGTTCGGTATTTTTTCGATTTATTTTCATAAAATAAAAAACCTACCCTAATTATCGGCGCGGTTGCAGATTTATATAAAAACTTATTGTTTCTTTAAAAGAAACTTAAAAATCGGTTCAGTACGGTACGATTCGGTCGGATTTCGAATATCTATTGACACCCCTAACAAAGAGTAAAATACAATTTACCCTGATGTTTAGATTTAGGAAATTACTCCCTCCGACTATAAACTAAGAGCCTGTTTGGACATAAGAAATTTTTTTCTTTTTTTCAAAAAATTCACTTTTTTTCGAAATCAGCGTTTGTTCATAAAATTTCCAATTTTCACTTGAAAATGCATTTTGAAAATTTTTAAAAATTTGAAAAACTCCAAAAAACTGTTTTTCAAAATTTTCACTCAAATCACTCACAAAACTTCAAAAATAACCCAAAATTATATTTACGTCCAAACACAACTCTAAATTTTAAATACCATTTTCACTTGAAAAATAATTTTTTCCTATTTTAGAATTTTACAATTTTTATGTCCAAACACCCTCTAAGCATTTACAACAATCAATTTTGAGAAGAAAAAATGAATAAAAATTGTTGTGGTCCACCTTGGGGCCTACTGCAATAATACACACTAGGAACACGTGCTTCACATTCGAACTTTGCAAATTCTACTCAATATATTTATTACAAATGGTAGCATGGTGAACAAAGCATTTCGCGTTCACGCAGGGTCTCAGAAAGGATCACACAGTCTGCTGTAAGCAGTATGTCCTGATGTAAGTATCAATGACTGATTCCACGACTCAAATTCGTAATCTATAGATTACATGTAAATAACTTGATCATTGTTACAAGACTTCTCTTCATCAATATTTATTACAGTAAATCTTAATTACCCCTAGTCCCCTAGCATATTTTTTGTAAGTTATTTTTTACCGTTTTGAAAGAATTTATTTTAAACTCATAGTATTATCTTTTATGACTTGTTCAATAGATTTAAACTTAATTTAAAAAGTAAGTTAAGTTGATCTAGTTTTTTAATCGATCAATCAAATATTTTAAACAAATAGAAACGATGGATGTCGCGTGTTTCATTATAGAAAACATGTTTTACTTTTGGCCGCTATTCCCTTTTGCGGTGTTTTACCAGTTATTAGCATAAAGAGTGAAATACAATTTACTCATTTTATTTTATTTTTTATTCTCCTTTGATCATTTTGTTAGAGCTATTGTTCTTTTGATGACTCGAACCCACAACTCTGATATAAATATCAGTAAATAATATTAGATATATTTTATAAAATATATACATAAAATATCTAGTTTGACGAAGATACTAGGAGTTCACGTACCCCATGTGTCAGCCTATAAATCCGCCCCTAGTTGTAGGTGGGGTGCTGACCATAACTCCTGTTGTTTGTTTAGATTTGGCACACTACTCCGTCCGTGACTTGAGACTAGGCATTTGACTATCAATTTTGACCAAAAAAATGAAGAAGAATTAATTCTATTTTACTACTGTAACAACAAATTTGGTGCCTGAAAAAATTAAAGACAAGAAAAATATAATAAATTGTACTCCTAGTATTCAATTTAAGTAAAGTGAGTGTTAGAATTGTTTGACCAAAAAATATAATTTTCTGTTAAACTATTAAATTTATATAATGAGGGGTTAAATCTAGTTAGGGATAATAACTCTAGATATTTAAGCACAAAGACGTATATTAGTTGAGACAGATTTCGTATATGGTTGGTAGTAATAAATATAGAATACTCATAAAGCAAGAATATTAAGGGAGATATAACTAACAATAAATGTCAATAAATGGCATTTAAGTAAATAAGGAGAATGATTCACCCAATCATTGATGAGTTGGACGAATATTTTGCCTGACAATGATGAATGATAGATAGATCTAAGATTCATATGAACGGTCCTCGGATCTGATAGAAAAGTCGGTAACAATATGAACAAGTATCTTTGTAAAAAGTTAATCTTTGTGTTTTTGCAAGAGGGAAAGTCTTCTTCTCAAAAGTGTTCTTATCAGAAGATGAATATTACATGCTCCTATCATTTGTCTCTTCTTTCTATATATATGGAGTCATTTTCCTAAGAATCCCTAACAGTACAAATGTAGGGAATATCCACTAGAATATTCCCTTTTAGTACCCTATTCTGACAAACTAGTTGTTACAAGTCTTATCATCGGTAGTCAATCTCGGCCTCGACGCTTGTTGACGTCTTAACTACGATCTCCGCCGATGTCTCGACCACGGCTCATGTCAGGATCTCGGCCATTGACCTCGTTGCGTCTTGGGCGAGCTTGACCGATAACTTTCTTTAATGTCATATTTTGTTAAATATTCTGAAGACAGATTTTGGCCTATACAGTTAGTCCCTCAGCTTATTAAGGTCGGTCTCAGACGGCCTTGATGAGCGAACTCTATTTGCCGTAGTTAACGAAAATTGGGCGAGCAAGTAGGGTGGCGACGCTTTAGGCGAGGTGGCAACATGACTTTTCGTGAGCTGTAAACTTTGGGGATGCGTTGTTTTAGAATGACGTCATGACATCATATGTCACTGTGATGCGCTTTCCCGATGCCTTGCGTCGTTTCCCGCGCCTCTGCCTTTTCGATACCTGTGATGGGCAATGATGGCTTGATTTCTAGGTCTTGGTGCCTGAAATTTTATAAATATGGACCTGAGGTCCCTTGTGTTTGTTTTGCGTACTTGCATTATCGAATCCATGTGTCCCTTTCTTCATTCTCCATATCAAACCCTTGTCTCCTTTTTGTTTCGTCATTGCGTGTCCATTCCCTCGGTTCCAGTGATTTCAGTTTTTCTCTACTCTTCTGTGCTTAAGATATCTTCTGTCGAGAATATGGTTAACGCACCCTCTAGTTCTAGTATGGCGCTTAAACCTACCCCTTTGGCGGTGCGCATGCCTCCTCATGGCGATGGTGTTTTCGTTGCCCCTGAAGATGAGGGGTTCTTTATGGTGGAGGAATTAATTCCTCATAGTGAAAAGGTTAGATCTGACTTTTCAAAGTTACCCGAAGACGATCCTGAGGTCTCGGAGTCGATGATGAATGAGGTTGACCTCGCTGCATTTAGGAAAAAGTTCAAAATTCCGGCTCACATCGATCTAGTTCCGGCGGGGCACGATGTTGTACAGATACATCGCCCAGGATATTGTGCGTTCTATGCGTACCGTTTTACGTGGGCTATTCTTTTCCTCTTCTTCCATCGGCGGAGGAATTCTACCGCTACTATGGCATCTTCCCGGCCCAGCTCTCCCCTTATATCCATAAGCTTATCCGTATGCTGACGAAATAT